TTTTTCTACCGGGCTATGTTAGAGAAAGACTTTTCAATCATATTGCTATGGAATGATTTTTCGAAATTGTGCTAAGTAATTGTGTTTTCGAAATGTGCTATTTTTGAAGCAAAATTTCTTTTGGAGAGAGAGAGAAAAAGCGAAATTTCGAGTGAAAAGTGATTCTTCAAAACGTGGCAAGATAATTTTTGTACTAAATTAACTGTGGTTCTGGAATATGCAAAGAATTTTACATTTAAAGAATAATCTGAGACAGTCTAATTTTCAAGTTTTATTGGATTGGTATATCTCCATGATTGATATATCTCCCGGATTTGCTCGGAGACTTTGTTTTTCGAACTTTTCGTTTTGATGAAGTGTCTTTTTTCTTCATTTCTAGTCAGGTTTCACTGCAAAATTTCATGTTTTTGAGGTAAATTTTTTTCACTTAAATTTTGTTTTTTTTTTTTTGGTCATTTATCCGGATTTTGCTGTTGCTTTTTTTTGGTCGGGAAATGTTGTTTTTCTTCTTTTTGAGCCATATTATCTGTTTAACTAGAGCTTGTTTTTCTATGTTTGTAATCTGTAGCATTCGAAGGAATTTTTTGCATTCGCAGTTCAGCGAATTGTGTGGAAAAAAATAACATTTGGTTGTTCTTGGCGCTTTGTCTTTCCTTGATTTTGGATAAATATTGGCGAAGTTTATTGCATTTTCGTTAGAAAATATGTTGATTTCGGCAATAGTTATCTCTTTTTCAATTTTTTTCATCTTTAAAAAAGGGAAAAATTAGTACGAAACTGAAAGTACGCAACAGTATAGTCCCAAGGAGTTAAGGGAAAAAAAAAGAAAAAGGAAAAAAAGGGAGGAAAATTGAATGAGGAACAGAAGTATGTAAAATTAGAATTACATGCCGAAGGATGAAAAGGCCTAGTAGAAACATTTCAATAATATCACTAACGTAGAATCTATACGTGCTTTTTCCGGGCATTCTTTCACAGCATGTCAAATTTTGATCCTGCTGACCTCACATTTCGTTAGTATCTGTTTCTGCATTTTTTCAGTGCGAAATTGAGTACTGGCAGTAATAAAAAGTCGTACTTTTACATTGATTCCTTGATTATCAGTTATTTCATCGTTACGTTTCTTCTCGTCATTGATGCAGCTAGCAACTTCTCCATTCTTTTTAGTTTGGGTCCCTCATCCATGTAATTTTATGCAGGCCCTCAAACGGTTTCTTAGCCCTACTGCTTCTTATTAAATAGAAGAATAGCAGAATTTCACTTGAATGTCATTTGTA